CTGAGGAGTGGTGGGGTGGGGGCGGTGATGAGAAGAGGAAGAACCATAGGTCTCGGACCTTGTTCCATATCCAGGCTGCTTCAGTGCAGTAAAGGAGGCAGTGGCGTATGTCTTCTGGCCTGTTGTCGTTGCACAGTACGCATAGTTCCGAGCTGTCAGGGTCCGTGTGTTTTCTCCTCTTGTGGAGCCACTGGTTGACAGGCAGAGCTGCGTGGGCTACAAGCCACTGCATGCTTCGAATTCTAACTGGTCTGATGGGCAAGTACTTTGTCCAAGGGATGGAGATGGAGTCCGTCGGCTCTAGGTTCAGTGTCTCTCTCCATCTTTCTTTTAGTTTGGGGTCGCGGTGTGTGGTCTGTAGGCCTAGATCATATCCAAAATTTACGTCATATTCGAATATCGTTCTCGTTTTCCCGGCCTTGCCCTGTTTCCAGATTGACTCTTTTGGTTCGAATTCGAGGTCTGAGATGCTGAGGTCAGGTTGAAGATTAACCAGGTTTTGGCCTTTGAGACCCTCACTTTTCTCAGTCGGAAAGATTCTACCATCTTGCACTGGGGTTCCTTGTTGAGGATTTCCATCTCCTGGATGTTGTGATTACCGATAGGGTAAGAGAAGAATTTGGAGAGGTAGCTGGATGCAGTGGAGCCGAAGACGAAACAGTATGCTCTGTTGGGTGGGATTTGTGATATGAGTATACCCCACTCCCCCGATTTCCATGAGCAGTTGTCTCTTAGTAGGGGGAGCCACTGTGGTGGGATGCTCTGCTGAATTTGAGCTAGATTATCTGTGAGGGAGTGGCAACCTCGTAATGTTGTTCGGAGGTCTTGTTCGGTTAGCCAGTCTCCCCGCTCTTCTGCCCATAGATGTTTTACCTGCCACACTCCTTTTTCCACCCAGGATAACCATCTCCGGTCTTTTGTGCATAAAGGGTGTACCGTCCGGGTCGTTGATCCAGGGATTGCAGAATATGGGTTGTCGCAACACCTCTTCTCTGTTTTCTGGTGCTCCATGCTTGCTCAGCATCATTCGTCGTCAGGCCTTCAAGGTGGGAGTCCAGTATGGGTTTGGCATTGGGGTAGTGCGTTTGTCTGACTCAGCTGGGGCTCTAGTGCGGGGTCTGCCTTTTTTGATTGTCCAGTCTTTAGCGATTATCCAAGATAAGGAATAGCATCTAAATGGAAAGGAAAGCCACAACTTTGCAGGACTGGTATCTCCTATTCCTCCTTTTTTTGGGAAGCCAAAAAAAATGAAGAAGTTGGGAATGCAGGGAGCTGATTGGGGTTTTGATATTCTCTCTTAAATCACTAGTACACTTGGGCCTGGCGGCGCCCCGCTGAATGCCAAGCTTTGCCGAACCACCGTTGTTGTGCTTCTTTTCTTTTTTGGCTGTTGTCACCAGCCATTGTGGTCCCGTAGCCCTGACCAAGCCTCTGGAATTGTAGGACTAGGTGATGAAGAAATCTTGCAAGGCTGGGGTTGTGTCCTTGCGGTTTAAGATGTCTGCCTACTTTTCATGAGGTGGATGAGTGCTCTTGATGTCACCTTCTCACGCCTGTTTGCTCTGGCTCAACTGTTTTTGCTGCTCTAGGTGAATAGAATGGAGCTAAAAAATAGTGGGGGTAGGGGAAGAGAGAGAAAAAGATCTTCATACGTGTGGATGCCATTAAAACTAGGGAATTTCCCATTTCTGACATGGAAGATTCGAAAGAGTAAAAGAAACTTCCAATGGCAACAGTCACACTCCACATCCCAAATCCCTCTGTAAAGAACAGGTTTTTTAATCCTGCCGCATTCCTGCAAACAAGAATGTACCCTCATCATGACTGTATAGGCCCTGAAAGATAGCTTGTATACAATCATGATCAAGGTGTGTTTTGTTCGGGGGCTTTCTAAATGACCACATTGTTCGCCATTGGCACCGCCCATAACTGGGGTCTGAAAGGAAAAATGTCTCCTGATAAAAAAACGTGCCATTAAAAAGTGCCCCTTTGACAGACTTCCATCCTTTCACAGATTTGCAGGCGGTCAGTTTGGAACACGGAACATCACCCATAGGCACGGTATTTTTATAATATAGAAGATCTCCAACATGGAAAGGTTGTCTTGCAGATGGGCAGACTACATGGCATCATTTCATTTCAAAAATGCTCGTGGGGTAAAGTTCAAAATTTTAGTACCTCATATCATCATATGATGCTGGAGCGTCCCGAGGCCACAATGCCTTCGGAGAGCTCAAAATTGAATTGTACAACCAAATGAGGACACTACTGTTGCAAGGTACCAGGGCCTCAACGCCACCCTGAATCCTGCTCGGGGAATCGAGAACAGGATGCTTCTCAACGTTACCAAGGCATCACCTAGGTTGACTGGTTGTAACTGGAGGATGCACTGCAAACAGCCGATGAAATGCCCGTTTCTGTGTCTTATGTGCACATGTCAGCCTCTTGGAGATCAAATGCTTGTTGTAGTGACCTCCAACGCTATTCCTTCAAGTTCCCTTTGCAGGGGGGACATGGTCTGTGTGTGTGTGTGTGTGTGTGTGTGTGTGTGTGTGTGTGTGTGTAGAACATCATGACCATGCAAGCTGTTTCTTAGTGTAGTGTCCAGAGAGCCTCAGGTCTGTCCAAAGAATTGTGTATGACAATTTTAGGATGCCAGGTTTTTACATACTACTAAAGAAAACAGGGGGTCTCACCTGAAGCCCCACGCGAGACCTGGGTCCCAGGTTGGGGAACTCGGCAGGAGGGGGCGCGGCAGGCAGCAGCAAAACCCGGCGGTCCCATGTGATGTGGGGCGAAACGACTCGGGCGACTCGGGCGCCAGTGAAAGCGAGCCGTGCAGGTGGAGGCAGAAACTGTCGGTCCGACGCCAAAGCATTGGCCGAAAAGAGTCGGGCGGGAGCGGATGCGAAAAGACGGACGCAACAGTGGGAAGCAAAGCGGACAACAGAGAGACGGCCAGTCGACGCCTGCATGCGCCAGGGAGAGAGAGAGAGAGAGAGAGAGAGAGAGAGAGAGAGAGAGAGAGAGAGAGAGAGAGAGAGAGAGAGAGAGAGAGAGAGAGAGAGAGAG